AGCTTTTAAGCAGAATAGGCTTCAATGTGCCATCACGCAGTCTTCGGCATGTGGATATATTTTTCATTCCAATTGTTAAGTCGTATTATTCTCTTAATGCGCCATTAATCAGAACTTTTATTGAATTAAATCAATGTTATTCTTTCGATATCTCGCTTCCAAGAGGCCTGGTAACTTTATGTTTAAGCAATCATTTTAAGTAACTTAAGTTAGTCGTCTTAGTCAGTAAGAATTTTTTGTATTCATTGACTAATAACAAAATAAATAAATAAAAAAATTCAAAAAAAAAATTAGAAGACCCGTATCGCGGCGTTTGTTTATGTTAGTTCGATTTTTTTTTTAGTCGACCTTCGAACTTTGCAGTGAAATGCAATAAATTTCTTCCTCTTTTTCCTCGTCTTCCTCTTTTCTGTTTCCAACCACCGCACAGGTAGCGATTTTTATTTATTTCGTACAAGCGAACTAAAATCAAAAATAAAAGCCCTGTTCGCGTACGCACTATCCAGTAAATCCAGTACTAATTTTACTGGTTTTTTACTGGATGTCGTTTTCGTATGCAAAAATTTGCAAGAAATTAGCAAAAGAGGGGAAATTGAGAGAGCAAAAATGACAGCTGAACTTGCAAGTTTTACTGAATTTTTACTGGATAAATTTTTAATAGCAACTACTTGCTAGTAAGAAAAACAGCTGATGGCGTGATGCTTATTGTAAATCACATTAAGAAAATAATTGTTTGTGGTGCTTTTAGAGTTGCAAAATAAACCCTGTCTCTTATACACATCTAAATGACAGCTGAACTTGCAAGTTTTACTGAATTTTTACTGGATAAATTTTTAATAGCAACTACTTGCTAGTAAGAAAAACAGCTGATGGCGTGATGCTTATTGTAAATCACATTAAGAAAATAATTGTTTGTGGTGCTTTTAGAGTTGCAAAATAAACCTATTTAAATATATAATAGGATGGAAAACACTAGTTTCCTAAGAAAATTGCATCGGAAAATAACAAATTAATCAGCTGTTCATAACACTAGCAACTTCTTGCTGGTTTTGCGTTTTCGTACTTTCTTGCATATTTCACTCATNCTTTTTTGTTTCCAACCACCGCACAGGTAGCGATTTTTATTTATTTCGTACAAGCGAACTAATATCAAAAATAAAGATTCAGTTAAGACTCGAAACTCAGCCGAAGCTGATGTCTTTTAATTTTCGCTCGGTCGTGATAAAATTCGCTATTAATTTTTTTGGAACTTATTTCATTTTGTGAGTGATTTAAGTTTAGTGCATCGGTTTCATAAAAATAACAAAAACAACATAATAATATATTTATATTGTATTAAAACTGGCGGAACCAAAATGTAAAATGGACCATTTTTGTAATGTTTGTGGACGTTTCATAGCAAGCGATGAAAAATGTGGAAATGCGAGTGATTGTTTTTTGGAAGCCTATAAAAAATATTTCTCGCAAGAGTTTATCACTGACGTAAACAATGCCCCTAAAAAAGTTTTCTTCAATTGCTATTCAAGTGTTATGCAATGGAAAAGTGAAAAGAAGAAGGTTATGCCTTTCGGTATACCAATGGTGTGGTTAGACAACAGCCCGCATCAACAAGAAAATTGCTATGGATGAATCAACTACCATAAAACTTTGAATAGAAGGAAAGCAAAGAATAAAAGTTATGTAGCAGTGCCAAGTATCTAATTACCATTACCGCACTCAGAATTCGTTCCAGTACCAATATACCGAAGTACTGATCTTCAAACAGATAACAGTACTACAACCGCCGCTGCTATATCCATGCATTTCTTCTCAGAATACGACCCTGTTGAAGGTACATCCTATGAAACATCAAAGGACCCAATCCTAGTCACACAAAAGCAATTGGATGCAATTGTTGCAATTTTGTGTTTGACTCAGAAAAAACCAGAACCACTGGCTTCATTTTTGAAAGGAAATAATTTGCTGGCGAAAGGTACCAAAGTAACAGCATATCGAAAACGCCAAAAAGAGTTAGAAAAGTTCTTCAATGTGAATGATGCAAAAAATTTCGCTTATTGCAACGATATCGAAAAGTTAATGGAGACGATAGGGTTAACCTATAAAAAAGATGATTGGCGTTTATTCATCGATAGTTCACTAATCAGCTTAAAAGTTGTGCTTTTGCACAAGACGAATAGAATGCCTTCTGTTCCAATTGCGTATAGCACTGACACTAGTGAAAATTTCGATAATTTGAAACACATTCTGGAAGTAGTCAAATATAACGAACACCAGTGGCGCATTTGCTGCGACCTCAAAATAGTTTCATTGATTACAGGCTTAACAGCATCTGGCCGTCCAAAATACCCGTGTTTTTTGTGCGATTGGGATTCACGACACGGAGAAGTTATTAAAGGAAGAAACCAGTGCAAACAGCATAGCTGGAATAGTCGCATTAGACGGAAATGGCCTAAAGACAATAGGCTACACGAAAGTCTTGTTCTTGAAATGAAAATTTTGTTGCCGTTGCTCCACATTAAACTTGGCATTGCTAAAAATTTTTTGAAATGTATCGCAAAAAGACCAGCAGTATTCAACCGCCTAAAAGACATTTTCCCAAGACTAAGTAACGCCAAAATTCAGGAAGGGGTTATTAATGGTCCCGACATACGGAAACTAATGAGTCGTCAAGATTTTGACCAAGTTCTGACAGACAGAGAATTAAATGCATCTTGATCAACTCGCTCAACAGTTGCCAACTGAATCTGAAGAGCAAGGCGAACGTTATCACCAAACTGCGCTTCCATTTGAAATAAGGTAACTATAGAGTGTGCATATTTTGAATTCCTAGATTTTTCTAATATCTTTGTCAGAGTGTACAATTTAAACATGTTAACGATTGAAAACTATTTTCGTTTCAGGTGCAGAGGAAAGAAATTTCCAGATGCAATACTCGCTGAAATTTGTTGGTGGTATAAAAACACCTTTGAAGAAGAGGAAAAAGAGGAAGAAGGGAGAGACAAAGATGAAATTCCAGAATATCTATTGGACGAAATTATCATAGTTTCTGATGATGATGACGATGACCAAGATATTAGAGAGAGCAGTGATGTTGATCCACAGCCGCCTGATAAGCGGCAACTGGCCAAATCATTAATTTAATTTTTTTACTTAAAACTTTTCATAACTAACATTTCAAAATTATATTTTTTCCATATTTTTATAATTTGTTTTTCAATGTTTCTTCAAAACCAACACTGGAAGAATTGGTACATAAGAAATGAGAAGTAAATTAATATTAAGCTGGAAAACGCAAGTTTTATATTATGATTGTTTTCTTTTCAAATGAAATTTATTGAAGAAAGTGAGAAGCATATTATAGATCACACAGAAAGCAAAAAAAACTTAGTTTTGTGGAAAATATGTTCAAAAAGCATGAATAAAAAAATGTCCAACATTTTTCTTCATCAGCACTACAAAAATTTTCTAAATGAATTTTTTTTTAATTTTGATTGTTGCACAGGTCTCTAGCAAAAATCTGACTTTAACAGATTGAAAAAATATCCATTAGTCGACGAGTTATAACCAAAAAACCATATAAACAATATGCTGAAAATCGGCATTTGACTGCAAAGTTCGAAGGTCGATTAAAAAAGAATTCGAACTAACATAAACAAACGCCGCGATACGGGTCTTCTAATTTAGCCTCTATTTTCACCCCTCACTCTCAGAATCGACCTAACTTTTGCTAACCTGAATTTGTTCCACAGTGTAATTCGCTGATTCCGAAAGTTGAGTAAATTTTTTTTCCTGTGGGCAAGTTTTCGAGATATTTGCAATTTATTTTTATTCAGCTAAAAAAAGTGGTTCCACTTTTGAAATTGTACTGAAAATAAAAAGAGTTTTTTTGCTTGTAAAAAAATATGAAAAAATTAAATATTTATGTACTTATTTTTTCTTTTAATCAATACTAAAAAAAATTAACACGATTATTGGGAAATCTAAGGCTGCTAATAAAAAAAGTAATATATTAAAGTATACTTAATCAACAGTTTTTTAAGTTAAGTTTTTTGACTCCCAAAGTAGTGATTTCGGTCCATAATTCGACTAGTGTTTTTCTGTCTATTTTAAACTAATATGAGACTGGTATATTTCTGACCGAAATCTGACAACTTCCATCTCGAAGGACATCCCCATGTGAAAAATACCGGTTGATTGCATGGAAAAAACATAGTTGGCTGACTAATTGGGCATGCGGTTCATGCTAGTTGTGAGGTAGTTTACAACTGGTAAATTTGACTACGGGGTATGAATACGGAGTGTGTAAGCTCGCACTAAAGTTATGATTGTTAATAAACTACAGCTATCCGTTCACATGTTTTTTCGGAGTGAATGCTTGAATACGTTCGGCGTGATATGCTGGTATTATAATTTTTTTGACAGGCAGAGAAATTGTTTAAATTTTCATTTGTTTACAAAAATATTTTATTTATATTTAATTTAAAACTTTCAAGATGAAAACAATTAATTTAAGTAGGGTTGTATGTCCTCTCGCTATGTTTAAAAAACCATCGCATTCCAATTTGTATTTTCAGAGAAAAAAAATAAATTCCGTACCACTGTAAACAAATTCAGATGCTCATAAAAATACTAAATTTGAAAATTGTTCTATGAAACTTACGGAGTAATTCAGGTGAGTAGAACTTCATTTGAGTGAAAAATCACCCGGAAATGCGAACGTCGGTAATTTTGTGTTTGAGATGGCCTTACCCAAATACTAGTCCCTAGCATATAAAAATAATGGTAGACCAACTAGTTGACCTGAAAATCTAATGGGTAGTATTCTAGTTCACTACTACATAGTGGCTTTCTCTGTTGGATATGCATCTACATACATACATACATGTATGCGCCTCTACTGATAAAACATACTATTCACCTTCAGCTAACTGCGGCGATAATGAAAAATGATTTCCGAAGGCAACCTTATCATTTAGCGAAGATAACGATTCGAGTCCACTTGTTTTAATAACTTTTGCAGCTATGCATATCCAATGCTTTAGTTGTCTTACAGTTCTATTTTTGCCTTCTTCCAATTTAAAGAGGTAGTGTAAAAGTTTTTTGTTCATTAAATCTATGGATTATTAATAATTTGAAGGTAATTTTAGCATAGACAATAGGTAAATGTGTAGATAATGGCCCGTATACATAAAACCTAAGCAAATGCTTTTTCTTAAAATTTCAGATCTTTCACTCAATTCCTTCAAATAAATTTATGTGAAAGGTATGTAATTTTAAGAAAAATCAACTGCTTAGTATTTATGCATACGTCCCAATGTGTTGCTGTTGTCTCAGTTTATACAAGGCGAATAGAAAATAACAATAGTGAACAGAGTGAAAATATGAATTAGTTGAAAACAATGCAACCAATTTGAAAAGAGTGGTTACTCAATGATGTCATACTATCGGAATTCTGCTTAATGATAGCACAATTAAACTTAAATACATAATAACATATAATGCAACCTTTTTACAATAAAACGATAGACCAATAATTTACAAAACACTTTTATCTTATCAGAAATGAATAAGCTCCTCTTTTCACTCATTGGTACTACATAGTGATCACAGGTTTATTTACATACATATACAGCAGCGGCAAAAAAACGGGACACTGATAAATCGCGATAAAATTACGTTGTGTCTAAATAAAAACAAAAGTCAGCGTTCCAAACTTTGAGCAAAATTTAAGAAAGTGCTTAAATTTGTATTAAAATTTGGACGCTTTTTATTACATGTTTTAGAAAAAAATGGAGTACGCAGTTTTGGAGTTTATTGAATTTCAGTGTAAGTTTTTGCAATTTTGAAAGTGTTCTACAAAATCTTAAGCTTAGGTTTATATGGTATTTGTTAGGGAATGCACTGTATTATAGTAGATTGAAAAATTTTAAATTGGAGGATGGTTCCGTGCGCAGAAGTGGAAAACTTTTGACTGCCATTCACCTGGGAGTGGCCAGAAGCGATTCTTGTGCGTACGGTTCAAATCGCAGCTCACAACGTCCGGATATTTATATCCACGTATCCTCTGGGTAGCAACCAAACACCCGTTTGGGAGCGAGCTAAAATCCCGCCCAATGAAAAGAAAAAACAGCCTCGGATGAGACCCCCTTTTTCTAATGACAATTACTGGGGAAGGTGCCTCTGCCCGGCTGGCTGATGTCCTCGGGAAGACAAAGGCTGACATCACCGCCATCCAAGAAATGCGATGGACGGGGCAAGGTAAAGTAAGCGTGAAGCCTTGCGACGTCTACTACAGTTGCCACGTAAAGGAGCGCAA